ACAGGCACACAGATAGAAACATGGCGCCTGCCATTGCTGACTTCTTTCTGAAAATGCTGGTTGACTGACTGATATAGACCCACTTGGTTCCGTGTTTTAAGTCACTGACCTGGAACAAATAAGCCAATCAGTAAAGTTTAAGAACAGGAAGTCAGAAGAACTTATTTGCATTCATCCTGGATCAGTTACTTGTAGTCTTGTAGCTAGAGGTTCAGCATGACTGCCAGGCAACAGAGAGAGAGGAAAGAGAGATTAGGAATAGTAGCCTCTATGGTTCTCTCATGACAGCTTTACTCTAAAGGAGGGGCGCCTACAATTTTTCATCTGGAGATCTACTTTTCAAATTGATGAGCTCAATGAGATCTACCAACGAATAAAAAAACACGCACATTCAGGGGCGGGAGGGGGCGTGACGATGAATTGAAGTCAATGGCACAGCAGCCACACCCCCCGCCCGCAGTGCGATCACCCGCAACCCGGAACGCAGGCCTGCTGCAAGCACTATTTTTGCAGATTGTACTGGACTAGAACGCAGGCACTAACGTGCCTCCGCTCCAGGGGCGGTTGATCGCACTGTGGGCGGGGGGCTGTGGTGCCATTGACTTCAATACAACTCCACGCCCCCTCCCGCCCCTGAACGCAGGGAGCCGGCCGGATTGCATTCCATTGTGTTCTAGAGGACGAACACTCTGGAATGCAGACTTTGTGGTGTGAACTGGCCATCTCTCTTGGCTGTCTCTTCTCTCTCTCCTCGCTGTCTCCCCTGTTTCTATCTGCTGTCTCTTCTCTCACTTTCTCTGCTGTCTCTCCCCTGTCTGTCATTTCTTAGCTCCACTGCAGCAGTTTCCCAGGTCTCCTATCATGTGCCGGCGTCCTGTCCTCCTGTGGTGCTCGTGTGGCCAAGGTTGCACACGGGGAAAGGTGTCCCGCCCCTTCCCGTCTGTGGCGTCTGACACATTTTTTTACTGTTGGGGAGCTTTGGGGAAATATTAAGGGTCTAAACAGCACCCTGATATCTCCCTTTTAAAATAGAAAAAGAAATTGAGGACACAAAGTCCTCAATCTCTTTTTCTGCAGCCTCTGTTCTAAATTAGTGGAAAGTACAGAGGGGCTTCCCATTCATTCCGAAAATATTTACTATCATCCAGTTTCTGAATGGGGAGAATCCTCAGAGTGCTACTCCCCATTGAGAAACTCGTGAATGAACAGGAACTGATGTAAAGCACTTCCTGTTCATTCATAACTGGGGGACACAGTACTATGTGCCCCAGTTATTTACAAACACTGGAGTGATCAGTTGATCGCTCCAGCATTTGCTCTGCACAGAGGATCGAAACATAACACTGATATGTACCGATCCTCCGCCACTCGGCCACACACAGAGCACAGCCTGCATCTTTTCCTCTGGATCCCCGCTGCTCTCCCTATCTGTATACAGCGGGATCTGATAAGAAGTGAAGGAAGCGCTGAAGCCGGCAGGGGGGGTGTGGTGGATGGAGCTGCTGTTACAGCAGCATGGCCGAGCGGTGAGGATAGAGAGAGCCGCTGGCTATCCGATCCTGGCTGAGCGGCTCTCTCTCCTCACCGCTCGGCCATGCTGCTGTGACAGCGGCTCCCTCCTCCGCCCCCCGCCACCGGCTGCAGCGCTTCACTTCTCCTCGGTTCCCCGCTGCATACAGATGGGGGAGAGCAGCAAAGATCCAGAGGAGAAGCCCCACTTGTCCCTGCTGGCTGAGCCCTGGATGCGCCCCCCGCTCCCTGGCGGGAGGACAGGACCCAGCCGATCGCGATCTACCAGTGTTCGCTTTGCGATCGACTTGTAGATTGTGATTGACCTAATGGGCACCCGTTCTCTAAAACCTATCTCCGGGGGAAGGGGGGAAACAACCTTTGCAATGGGGCTACCCCTGTACTGCAAGGGTTAACTGCATGTTTTTGCCTATACCAGCTGTGTGAAAAGTATACAGTATAATCTGTGTTGTTCCGGGGTGGCACCTTTCTCCAGGGTCTCAGGTGGCCTGTGCGGGCTCTCAGGTGGGCTATGCGGTGTCACGGGTGGGCTATGTGGACTCAGGTGGGCTGCATGCCCTCTCAGGTGGGCGCTAGACTCCCTGGATTCCTCCATCCACAGTTTAGCATAGATGGAGGAATCTGTTGCACTTTTTCCATCTGTCCATAAAAAGTCTGCAGATAATCTATAGGTGTGTGGCCAGCTTTGCTTTACCCAGCCTTTACTCTGCACATACCTGTTTAATATCACAACTTCACCCATCTGCTGTGCCCTTTTCAGGGTAGAGGCAAATAATTCACCACTTCATGGCACAACACACAACTGTATGGAATTGTGCTTTTTTTTCATTATTTGTTGAATATGATGATTATTTCCTGAAGTGTTTTTAAAGGGACATGTAATGACTACTGTTACCTATCACAGCCAAGGCTTCCATCCTGTAATGGGGGCTGCCATTGCCCGACTACTGGAAGTGGTGCTAGCTTTAAAGAAGTACACCTGTGTATGGGGTAATGGGGACATGTGCTCTAGAACTATTAATATAACCACTTCACCACTTATACTTGAATTAGTCAATAGCAACCTCCAGGCTGAATGTGAGCCTTTGCTGTGACAGATAACAGTCATAATAGGTTCTCTTGCAGATACAAGGTAGTATATTTAGTATAAACAAGCACAGTAAATGTAGAATGTGATCTGTTTGGGGTAAATTGATTTTATTGTCGGACATCTGTATCTTAAAAAAAGGTCTGCGTTTATTTACAAATAAGAATACAGTATACATAAATTTTAATTCTAGAATGGAAAAAAAAGGGAAATGAATGAGGGGTCAAGGTAATGGAAAGGGATAGGGAATCTTTTTCTAATCAGCTGACTTAAGGTGCCTATACACCTTACAATTATCATTCGATAGTCGTCCGCAATTGCGTTTTCGTACGATAATCGGCCAGTTGATGGGAAGTGCACGATCACAATTAGGTCTCGTTCACACCTAGGCGTATTGCATATGCGCATCTGTCCTCGCGATTCGCGGTACAAAAGTTGCGCGACAAACGCGCGTTTCCGAAGGCTACTTGGCTGTATCCCAATGGAAACGCACAACAAAACGGCCCAAAGTAGTACATGTACCTTTTCAGGCGTGGGCCGTTTTGTAGCGCGTTAGGGATGGGCGGAAATACGCCAAGGTGGGAACGAGACCATTGAATACAATGGGATTTATATTTTTGAGCGTTTTGTAGAGCGTTCGTCGAGCGTAGAACGCGCTACAAAACGTTCAGGTGTGAACGAGGGCTTACTGTACAACTGTCCGAATTTGGTTAAACGGATAGACTAGAAAACTTTAGTCGAAACGGCCAAAAAAAAACCCCGATGGAGTGGCGTTTTCGTACAACAAAAATCACAACAAGAACACTGTACATGCGCAAACAAGAATCTGTTCTGCCGATCAACAAATATCGTAGAGTTAGTATTGCTAACTAACGATAATGAAAAACTACATTGGTCTGTGCATGATGGGGTATTTGAACGGCAATCGAACGAGGGTGCGATATCGGGACAAAAAAACATTGAACGTTGGTTGTAAGGTGTTTGGCCAGCTTTAATCATTCTTTTCAACTTCACACATGCAAGGGCCTTTTCTATCCTTGGAACACTCCCATCGGGCAGGTCCCAGCGAATCACATCCTTGCTTGCAGAATCAAGGAAATCTTGTCCAACAGGGCATGCAAACTCAATATTGCCCTTTGCTCCAGGCTCCGAGTTGAATTTTGTGTGCAGATAATGCCACAGGATGAAAGCATGACCTTAATGTCCTTTCCTGCAGCAAGATTGCAGCAATATTAAACAGGTTTGGGTAGTAAGGTCCTACTATCCAATGTGCTAATAACCCTCATCCATTCATCAATGTCACCATGCAGACAGCCCTTTAGTTGTTTTAAGATCTTCATCTGCCTTAGCACAAAGTCTCATGTAGACCATTTGTTCAGGAGACAGATGTGGTCTTTATATCAAAGTTATATCATAGATAACAATGTTATCAGCTTTAGCAGTAAATGAAAACTGGATGGTAAGCTATTCAAGCAGGTTGGAAGTACTTATTCAGTCTAAAGCTGGGTATACAGTACACGGAGCAGATTTTGTCTGATTCTTCATAAACCATGCACAATTTGCTCAGTGGGTGGCCCTATCTGCCAGCTCCCACCAGACATCCTTCGAATGAAAAATTGAAGGACCCAGTAATAAAATAGTCAGTCGAACAGCACCTGCATCTAATCAGATGCATGCATGCATTGTTCAGGTATTTTGACAGCAGGGCCGACTGCTAGAATTCAATAGTGGCAGCAAGAGATTCCTCCATCCACGCTGTTTAGTGTGGATAGCAAAATCCGTTAGAGAGCTGAAAATCTATTAGTGTATACTCAGTGAATAACTCAAATGGGGATCACCTTCCCCACAGTTTGAGCTGAGTTCATGTTGACAGCCTTTGTCTGGTGCTGTATCTTCGTTCTTATAAGGCCAGCTGTAGCACATGATAAAATAGGCATTTGTGGCATAGAAGTGCTGAAATTATACCTTACTTATGTAAAAAGTAAACCTGCAATGATGTCTAAGGGAATACTTGTATATAATATACCATTACAATAATCCATTGTTAGCAAGGACATTTCACTGACAACTCTTTACAAAACTTAGACTTTTTATTTGACATCTTATTACATTTTACACAGTATAATAAACCATGGTATTCATCCATAGAAAGTTATTTACATCTACATATCAAAAAATATTTTGTCTCTATGCTTTAATAAATGAGAATGTTACAAATGAGTTTTGTTTCACTGTTTTACAGAAGTCTGATACAGTGTATTCCTGGAAAAAAGTGGTTTTGCTAAATATTATAGTAAACAGTGAAAAAGACTTTCAAATATATCATGTTCACCAGATACCTAGGCATCCTGCCGAATGTCCATTAATGTAGGAGGTGGTGTGCTTAGGAAACAGTCTTTTCAGGATAACATTGCTGATCTTCCCTTACAGGTTGCTGGGTCGGCCTTTCTGTTCTGTGACTCTCACTGATGAGTAGAGTGCTTCCTCGGAGCAAATCTTCCTCTGCTACATAGTCATTCCTTTTTATCTCTGAGGAGATATAGATGATCTTGTTTAGCAGACATACATAAAAATACTTTATATTTACAAAAAAAAAAAAAAATCATACTCACCCATACCTCTAATGTGATCCTATCTATCAGTGGGCTACCCGCACACTGCAAGGGTTAAGTGCTCATTTGTATCAAGGTGCTAAAAAAAAGTTATACTCACCCGATCCTTAGAGCCAGTTTCCTCTTTCCGCCTCACTCCAACTTCCCTGCAGCAGTCTAAGTATCCCTGAGTCATCTCTTCTATAAAGTGTATCGGACAAGAGGACGTCGAGAGACAAACTACCGTTGCAGCATAGGAAGTTTGGGTGAGTATAACCATTTTTTTTAGCACCTAGACACAAACGAGCACTTAACCCTTGCAGTGTGGGAGTAGCCCCACTGCAAGGGGTTAACAAAACTTCTGCCCAGAGTTCTGCTTTCAGTGTGTCATTCAAGTGTCCATAATATGGAGGAATAGTGTATATTTTGAACAATGAAATGGACAGACTTTGACAGTCATTAATATTTTGGCCAAACATAGGAGCCAGCTTTAAGATAATGGAGAGAGGGTTTGAATGATTATTTTTATTATAAAGGTGTCCACTGTTAGCATGAACCCCGATGAATTGCAGTGCCAGTCATATTGAAGGCTTTTGGGGGTGTATTTGCCTTATTTTCATTTCACCTTAGTTTTGCAATTTATGCAAGCTGATTTTTTTCCATGAAGTACATCATTTATGCAAAATAAATAAATAAACCACACCTAAACAAGATATGTTTGTAAATTGAACATTTTTAGGAGAAAAGTCACATCATGAGAAAAAACAGTGCCCATAGCAACCAATCAGAGTTAAAAGATAAGTGACGTTTTAAGAAAGTGTCATTTAATAATTCCCCCTACCCCCCTGAGTGCAGCATGCCATCTTTAATACTTCCCATTCCAGAAATCATTTCTGTGTGGCCCTGCCCAGCACCACACAGCCTTTCTAGGGAAAAAATCCATACCAGCTACTCTTGCGCATGTGCACAGTGGCCCCATTCATTCTTATTGGTGAGCTGTATTCTGCTGGATGCGTGGTGGCATGGCCCTTACTTGTTCATCATAGACATTGAATAGTAATAAATCACACGTGCAGAGCTTGTGATGTCGCATCAGTGAAGCCATGATGAGTGATATCATTTACCAGAGATTGATTGACAGAGTGATACTTCAGTGTTACTGCCTACAGGTACACTTACTAGGTTTTCTGTGCCACAACTTACCTGGAAGTTTTAAATGCCTGCAGCATGTATTACACTGGTGTTTGGCACAGAAGTTTTTAATGGCATCATCCCCCAGGTTGGCCGGTCCAAATATCATGCCATTTGATCTGAACAAGAGTAAGAAAGACATGCCATAAAGGTTAACTAGAACCTGGCCTACAAACAACATTTCAGCACAGTAAGTGTGTGTGTGTGCCTAATGTTAGAATAACATCAGGCAGCAAGGGAGAGACAGACAACGCCAGTTTAGGGATTTCTTGACCTATATTTATTCTTCCCTTGCTGTGCATATTAACCAAGTCAACCAGTAAGTAACCAGTCTTGAGTGGGGTATTCCTGTTTTTACGCAAACAGCAGCAGGTAGATCTCTGAAATAAAGTTATCTAAACCTTGCATTATACTGTATATGATTGTCTAGTGGAGGATTGTATTTTTTCCTCCTCAAAAATTAAAACACCCAAACCATATCTTACCCCCCAAAAATGTAATATCTTGCAGCTCAACAGTCCTTAAATATGGTGATTAGGGATGCACCGATATTAGTACCAGTATCGGTGCCGATACCAAGTATTTGGGCGAGTACTCGTCCAAATGCTCCAATACCTTCCACGATACCGGAACTTCCGGTCAGAGGAAGATTTCCTCTGACCGGCAGTGCCATAGGGGAACATTGAGCCAGCTTCTCAGCCAATCAGCATGGAGCCGGCTGAACAGCTGGCTCCATGCTGATTGGCTGGGAAGCCGGCTGGAGTCGGCTTTCTGGGCAATCAGGGATCAGGAAGCCGGGAGGCATGGCTTCCTGATTGCCCAGGAAGCCAGCTCAATGCCAGTTGAAGCACCTGTAATACTTTAAAGTCTATGTAGTCATGTTTGTAAAAAGACATCAGTATCTCCGTGTGTATTTATTTTCTAAATATACTTTAAAATGACAAAACACTGAAAAGTGCAGTAATTTCAACGAGGAATGCAGATGGAATGTAGTTGGGGAATTAACTGTGGGGATGTAACACCACCAATGGTGTTATAAATCAGTTATACAGGAATATCCAGCGTCACGCAGGATTTTTTTTTCTATGTTCCAACAATGCACATGCCTCAGAGCTAAGTTAGCAAACAGGTTTTTTTTCTCGCTCTCTATACCCTTTCTCGCTCTCTCTATATATATATATATATATAATAAACTCACCTGCGTTCTCCAGCTTTAATAACACATGCATCCGTCAGATTTTCCCCAACACCTTGAGAGAAAAAAAAGCATAAATATCTTATATCTATATTCCAATAAAACATTTTAACCAATCTTTAGAGCTATTTCATCTTTTAGCTGTGACAAATATGACAGATCACTTGTCATTACTTATGATACAAAAGTGACATTTTTTTTAGGGGAATTATGGGAAACAACGTTTTATTTTTGGTAATAATATTAAAGTTTCTATATATTTTAACCCTTTCACTACCTGAGCAATTTTTATCTTTTTTCACACACACTCAAACATTTTTTGGCCTTAACATTACGCAAAACCTCCAAAATGTTATCGGGGGAATTTATCAAAACTGGAGCAGACAGAATCTGGAGCAGTTGCCCATAGTAACCAATCAGTTTCTCTCTTCAGTTTGTTCAGTTAAACTTTGAAAATGAAAGAGAGAAGCTGATTGGTTACTATGGGCAACTGCTCCAGTTTTGATAAATCCCGCTCTATATACTTTCAGAAAAACAAAAGGACTGTAGAATAAAAAGGTGGTAGCTGAACATTGTTATTATGGAAGCACCGATACCGTTTTTTTGGTATCAAGTGCGAGTACCGATATATTTTTTTTCCGGTACGTGCTGCGATTATCAGGAAGCTGCCCGGCTTCCTGATTGCCTGGGAAGCTGGTGTTTTATCAAAAGAACCCCGGCTACACTTGCAGAGGCTGCCTGACCAATCAGGAAGCTTGGAGTCGGGTCATGACATGCCCCCCGACATCCTGATTGGTTAGGAAGCCAGCTTCACTTGTTGGTAGGCAGCCTGGCTTCCTAACTAATCAGGAAGCCAGGCGGCACGTCATGACCTGCCTCCCGTCTTCCTGATTGGCTAGGAAGCTGGCTTCACTTGCTGCTAGGTAGCCTGGCATCCTGACCAATCAGGAAGCTGGTCATTACGCATATTTCAGTAAAAAAATACACTAAATCTAATTTTAGTGCACACAAAACACAATAAACTTCCCAATTCCCAAAAAACATAAAAGATGAGCTAAATAGATAGAGATTTACAGCTTTATCACTTGAGAGTTAACCATAAACTCACTCATGTTGTTGTGCACAGCAATACCTAATATGTGTTACGCAATTGCCGTTTATGTACACATGCGTTGTATATGCATGTATTTTTATGCATGTAAGTTGAGGCAGGGGCTGGTAAGCCCCCTATGTGATAGTATTGTGCAGTGACAGGTTATCTGTATGGAGACATCAGAGGCATCAGATCTCTTCTCTGTGCTACCCATCCTGAAACAAATTTTTTGTGGTCCCGGGCTCGGGGTCAAACCTTCGCTACACATAGAAGCGATTGAGGAAACTTTACAGCCACCCGGATCACTTCTAACTTTTTAAAGCAATCTCAAGGCTCATATTGGGCTTATTTTTACGCTTGTAATGCCATGACATGGTACATGTCATTGGCAGCAAAAGGGTTTAAGGCAAATAATAATCTGACAACAACTAGTGTAACTGTAGGTATCAAGTGAAAATGTTATCCTGTGATTTGTCACATTTATCACTAAAATTGTGTGTCTGGTATAAAGAGTGGTGAATGTATTTACAAAAGCAATTAAGGTATTTTTGCATATGTTTTAGGGCTAAAGCTACAAAAAAAATAAACATTTTCTTATGACAGGTATAACAAAAAAATCACTGTCAAAACGGGATAAGATGGCCAAGAAAATAGGTAATTACACCTAGTTAGCAAGGGGGTTAGTTAGGCCCCTTTCACACGGGCACCTTCAGTTCCGATCAGGAGGGGATCTATGCACGAATCTCCTGCTGACTTGAACAGATGTTTCCATTGTGACATCTTGCAATGGAGGAAAAATCTGCAATTACCGGACCCATGTTGGTCTATGGTCAAGTCAGATATAAATGGACATATGTCTGTTTGCATCAGATTACCCCGATCCACCACGATCAGGTCCATTGAAACTGAAATCTGATCCGTTTGTTTTTCTGGACCTGGCCGGAGTCGGGGCTAAACAGATATAAACAGATGCACGTCCGTTTAGATCCGGCTGCCCATAGACTTACCTTGGGCTTCCGACCAAATCAGCCTAAAAAACTGACAGGGGGAACTGATTGGAATGCCCGTGCAAAATGAGCCTAAGAGGTTATAGAGTCAAGACTTTTGTTATATATATATATATATATATATAAATTGTATACTTACCTATCGGTAATTTTCCTTTCCTGACGCCAATACATGGCAGCATACACATGGGAATGGCTCCACCCCCAGCCCAATCACGGGACCAGTTATACTATCAATTAAAGCACACCTCCCAGGCTCGCAACCTTAGCCAGAAACAAAGAATTTCATATTTAAAATCATCCTGAAGAATCCTGTTGGAAGACCCTCTGGCTCCAGTAAGTCTAATTTCACGATCTGAATTGATTCTGTCAGTAGGATGACAGTAGTGTTGGCATTACTTGGCTTTCCCTGTTGGGGAACCCTGTTAAATTTGATCGGAGCCTAACTGAAGGTGTTCCCATGGACTGTCAGAGTATGTGCATGCTGAACTAACAGCAGTATGTTGCCACAAATAGGGTAATACTTGAAGCCTTGTTCACTCAAGAAGGCAGTAACTGGATGTAATATTTGGAAAATTACCTAGGGCTGTGGCGAGGACAAAGGGCAGATAAACAAACTGAAATGGGAACTTTAGAACGGCAAGCAAGACATTTGAGAAAATATAGGTGTACAGGAACATGAATACACCTCTTGCAGGCACAACATCCTATAGCCTTTTGATGGCTTAAGTGATTTGAATACAGAGATTCCATATGCAAGATCTGGATCCTGATCCCTCTGTTCCAAGTATTCAAAACCAAGACTACTCTTAAGTCTCCTGGTTTTCCCACTAGGAAAAAATAGAGGATAAAAAGCTTGACATTTCTGGACTGGAAAGATTATGAGACACCATTTTAATATGTGTACATAGAACCTAGAGCTGTGCTTACCCCATGGAATTCTGATGGGAAATAAACTGACTGGAAGATGAGAAGAAAAACTTGACAGTGTCCGTCTTGAATTCTTAACTAGACCCATGGATCCTGAACAGGATCAAACTTGCGCAAGCTCCCGCAACCGGGGACCTACTGGTCAATTTTATACTAAGGTACTGATATGTCCTTTGAGCTGTAGATGGCGCTGTTGTGCAATGCTAGTCTCTGTGTGCATGCTTATCTATGAAACACAGAAAGCTATTTTCCTTTCTGTTTTCTTAAAAATCCCATATTCAAGTAAAGTAAAACTTAATTCAGCATTCCTCAAGATCTCAGTGCTTTATCTAAACATATAACCAACAAGAGGAACCCTCAAAAGAACTTTTGTTTCTCTTGCAAGGGAGTAATCTTGGTTTGTTGAAATGAAGACAAGCTGATTCTTAATTCTTCCATCCCCTGTGACTTTAGATATTGTTGTGTGTGGTGAGATCTGCACCGACACAAGGTAACTGCAGTCCTGGATTCCCAACACAGCATATCCATAGCAGCTTCCCTATAAAGTCAATTGCTGATTAATTTCATTTAGAAATTACCATGCCCCCGAGACCTCATTGTCAGCCAAAAGGTCTGCTTCTGTGTTCGTAGGCCAAGTACGGATTGCCCTGGCAATAAGGGAATCCTTGCCAATTAATTATCACTTAAGATGTATGCTGGCAATACTCTATAACCAACTGCCTTAGGGTTAAGGTGGCCATACACTCTACAACCATCGCAAGACCATAGTCTTGCGATGGTTGTACAGGGATTAAAAAAACGTACGATCTGCCTATCTTGGACAGGCAGATCGCACTCTCGATCATCGCAAGCCCGCCCCCCTGAGGGGCGGGCTTCCGATGACCGCAATGCTGAACGGGCAGTGTGCGTGTGCGCGTGCGTACACCGGCCCGTTCGGCATTTGTCTTCCGAGCACCGTTCTAACCAGCCGAGAATCGTACGATTCCCGGCTGGTTTTCAAACATGCTGGTTCGACGGAAGACGTGCGACCGTACAGTAGAAACGGTCGCACGTCTCCGTTCCCACTGCTCGATTCTCCAACGATCACGGGATTTCCAGCGATTCTCGTACGAGAATCGAGCAGTGTATGGGCACCTTTAGAGGGGGATTTGTGGTGGATGCAGCTGCTTGACTGGGCTAGTAATTGACAGTTCATAAAGTACTTCACCTCTGTTTAAGGCTTCAGACCTCCATCTTTCTATTTACTGCTGCCCCTGCAGAGGAAACTTGGCACAGCATCCTGCCAGATGATCGCAGGTCCAGCGCTGCTCAAAAGGTTGTACAATTCTTAATCCTAGTAGCAGAATTTGCATGTGTAGCAGCTTTATCACAGCTTGAAGAGGACCTTTCATCCCAAATGGAGCAGCTTACTCTGGCCTTTGGGGAGCAGTGCTAGCAATAGGGCTGGAGAGAGTTATAGCAACAATACTGACATGAAAGGCGCTCAAAGTGTTAAGGCACAAAATTTAAGCTTTCAGGCTGACAGAGTGACTTCTGTAAGATCCAGCTAAAGATGTAGTAGCAAAGTTACAAGTGGCAGCAGCAGCCTGCACTCAGCAAGCACCTGCAGAGTTAAAGCACCACAAGCAAACTAATTGATTTTTAGGGGAAAACCTGCAAGCTTCAACTAAGCCATTAGCAGCAGCACCACATAATCACATGCTTCCTTGCAGTGCACCTTTAAACACACATGGAAAACTGAATAGATCTACAGGCATAATAACAGATATTCAAAGAAGATTCAGCCAGAGCAAAGCAGGACTGCAAAGCCATAGGAAATAGTAGCACATTCACTACTTAAACTAATTGAAAGAAAATGGAGTGGATCCTACTTGTCATCTTGTCCATGCATGTGATTATTCCAGTACCACCATAGTTTCTGATGATGCATCGGAGTCATGGTTTCTTCAGAGTCAGAAAACCAGGAGGCCAAGCAGGTGTCTTCAACATGCCGCCATGATGGAGGAAGCATCCGAATATGAAAGGACCCTAAAAGACCATTTCCTGCACCGCAAACTCTGAAGATATGGGGGGTGGCTTCCCTTATAAAATAGCATTTAGCCACCTGAACAAAGGGAACTTTGCAACAAGAAGAGGCTGAACCTGTGCGGCAGGCCAGAAGCAAGGTGAGGGTAAAAATCAAAAGTATTTTTAGTATAACCGGCTTGAGCAGTGAGGACAGAAAAAAGAATGGTGGCATTGGAATGTGTGCTTTAATTAATAGTATAACTGGTCCCATTCGTATGCTGCCATGTTGGTGTCAGGAAATATATATATATATTTTTTTTAACATTCAGTTTTTCTTGACTGCTGTGTAAGGATGATTGCATTAAAATTAGCTGTACGTGACAGCTAACTTCAATGTAACATCTTTAGCTAGATTATAACACTAACCCTGTAAAAAAAAAAAAAATAATGTATACAGTACAAAATTCAAGCTGAGCTCCTTAAACTATTTTAGTAATTAGTAAACCATTAAAATCTTATGGACTAATATTTTGAGGCACGGACATCCATAACTAAAAGGCTAAGTGTTATAAAAAGGCTAAACAACAGTGATGGGTGAAGACAGTGTATTTGCTCAACCATACCAGTGTGTGTGATACACTTTTAGCTTAATTTCATAATAATCTCTATATTATCTTGGTTACAGTCAGCTTCACATTAAAGATAATATAGAGTAATAACTCGGTTCGCGACCAGAATCGTGGAACAAATTAAATATCACTGTATTTAAAAAGTAACCAGGTAAATAATTCAAATGATAATTCACAATAGTGGGTGTTAGGACATCGACACATACCATTTTATACTGATACCATTAGTGACCTACGAAGCAAAGAGAACTACCTTGCAAGTCCAGGACCAGAAATTCCCCTCTGGTGTACTCATAGCACCAATGGCTGAAGGCTAGCATTGTCTTCTCCAGCTTGTTTGTTGGAACGGTTTCATTGCCTGTGTTATTATTATATTTTCTAAACCTTCCCGCCATACATTCTTCAATTGTAAACCACTGTCCAGCCGAGTGACAATAGAGGAGGAACACTTCCAGAAATCTGCCATTAAAGAATACTCCATCAGCTCTACAGGTCACAGAGCCTCATCAGAAATACATATTTATTCACAGTGTCTGAACAAGTCATACTTACTTTGGAGCATATGGGATTGCTTTGGGTTTCATTTGGTTGAAAGCAAACAGTAATTTTTGGGCAGCTCGTTGTTGCTGGATTTCCTAGAATAGAAGTTTCAAGAAAATTTCAGATAAACTGTAGATACTATGTTAGCATAGCATACGATAACTAAAAAGTTAACAAAAAGACTGCATGTATATATTATAACGATATTATTAACATACATTTTATGTATGTCCTTTAGTCCATTTATTTCCCTTAAAGCTCAACTACGCAACTCTTTGTCACCTGCCTTGGTTTTAGCTGCAGCATGTACATGTTTTTTATGTTTTATCAAATCAAGGTTTACTGGGTTTAAACATATCAAATTAAAATGTTGAATGTAATGCCAAGTGTACAGCATTATTATGCTATGTTGTATCACAATTGATATACTTCAATGTAAATTTTTTTATAGAGTGGCATATAAATGTAGTTATTACAGATGTGCTATCATATTAACATGCACCCTGTTTAGAGGAGAACCCCTTCAACCTGACTTAACAACTGTGGATTGGCTGGACCTTGTCATTGCATACAGAAATATGGATGCCTATGACAGATCATGAATGCTTCCAGATTAGTGGGAGATATAGGAAAACGCCAGGTCCATTTGTATCATGAAGAAGCCAAGGAAATAGAATTTTAAAAAGGGGAACCAAGCTGCAAAGTATAATAAAAGTCACAGTAACACTGATAAAGAGAAGATTATAGCTATCATAAATGCATATCACAGTAGACTCCACTGACCTAAGGTATACCTGGAACATCATATACATACCGTAGATATTTGTAACAGGAGCCTTGCAGTAGGGTATCTTACAAATATATCTAGTGGCTATTTATTGTGCTGCCTTTGCATTAAGAAAGCCTTTACACATCACTCACAGCTTAGTAGACAAATATTACTTTGCCCAGATTTGTTTTATATGCTGCATATGTATTGGTGCAATTCTCTTCACTTCTCACCCTCCATTGCAATTTGCCCACAGCCACAACAAAGATGATAGTGAATATATATTACATATAATTATAATAGTATGGCTCACCCTGAGGCACAGCTGTAGCACTGTGCCATCTTTATATACATCCGACCATGTATTCACCACCTCAGGGAGGAATGACTTGATGATATAGAGGTGCCCAGCCTTAAGAATGTCCTTTTCAGACCAGGTACAGGCCACTTTCACAGCTCGCCTCAATCCGCCTCCCATTTCTTCCTTACTTAGTATTTCTATTGTGGCATAACAGCCATTATGAGACCAGGATGACATGCTGTCGTTTAGGATGTTTGGTGAGCTTTCTTCTAGCCGATACACTGTGACCAGCTCTCCTGGAATAAACCAAGGGCACTTGTTAGATGCACACAATCTATTTGATACTTATCTTCCATGCACTTATCTGGAAAAAAAAGAAAACTAGAACTTAAAGTGACATTAAACCCTCAGATTTTTCAAACATAAACCAATACTGTAATGTGTGCCTTACTGTAATCCATGGTTGTTTCCCTTCTCTTTGCTGCTCATCCTCATGTCTTCTCATGCTTGGGGAGAACTTCCCTTTGCAGCTGAGTGCCTCTTCCTGTAGTGCTGGCTCAGGTTGCAAACCTACACACAGACACCATGGGGGTGATTTACTAATGCACTTTTCTGCTTACCTACAGGAGGCAGGGGTGTAAAGGGTATACTTTGGGAGAGCCGATATAAGTTGTTTCTTTCAATGGCTGTTGGGGATACACAGAATAGAATTTGTTACTGAGTGATGATTATCTATTTTGATCAAACGTTTCCTAAAGAATACTCACCTGAATAATAAAAAGATTTATCCATTGATGTCTTAAAATCATGGCCAAATCCTAAAATAAATACATGCTTCAATTAAAATCATTTTTTTATATTGTACACATCAAAGTCTATCTGTTTCCCAAATTGTATTTGGGGAGTAACATGAAACATGGTCACATTCCGCCAACCCCACAGCCTTAAACTGCCCCATACAACTTACTTTGATTGCAGGGTGCTTCTCCCTGAAGTGTCCAGTTATTGCTTGAATTAAGGGCAGCTTTGCCACCACGGCAGAGGGACTCACAGATCGAAGTTGCACAAGAGTGGTCACTGTATTTGTAGGCCATTGTTTATTTCCTCTAGCCCCATTAAAGGGGCCTTTATACAGTCTTGGTGCTCATGAGCCAGTGCATTGCAAATGTGATGCAGTGCTCACAGCTGCAATGCTCTGCAGCTTTTAATGCAAACGTATTATAAATGCACATTTTTAATGCGGGTGCATTTATTAACCAGTTGACATCCGCCGTGATAAACCCCCTTCCCATCCAGGCCATTTTTCAGTATTCAGCGCTGCGGTACTTTGACTGACATTTATTCCGTCATGCAACGTTGTACTGAAATTAATTTTATACCATTTTTTGGGGACAGATAGAGCTTTCTTTTGGTGGTATTTATTCACCACTGGGGGTTTTATTTTTTTACTATATTAAGGAAAAATTACCAAGATTTTTTTTAAAAAACAGTTTCCCCTATATTAAATGATAAAACATTTATTATTACCCAATTTTTGGGTAAAATATAAAAGATGGGGTCACGTCGGGTAAAAAGACACTAAACATGTCAAGCCTTAAAATTGCGTGCGCGCGAAACCTCAAAAAACGATAATACCCAAAATTGGCCATAGGCGACGCTTTAAAAGCTGTTACCGCTCATCAGTTTAGTGTTATCAGTGATTGATGGCCCTAAAATGATTGCTCTCACTGCGACGTTCGCGGCGATATGCAACATGTGTAGCGCAATTGTAATTTTTGCGCGCTGGGGCACCGGACGCGTATTTACGTTTATAGGCGCGTAAACGTGGGGCTGGGGGAGTTAAACATTTTGGGGG